TGGTTTCAACAAATTCTAGCAGCAAGCGGTAGCAGGATGTGTGATCAGAACCAGTCACCTTAAATAGACAGCCAAATAAGGTAGGCGTGATTGTTACTAGCATCTAATTGGTGCAATCTCAGCTGATGCTCAGCTGAGGCGGGCACTCGGGTTCCCTTTCTGAACTGGCTTCACTTTATATACGTGTTGGAATATTTAAATGAACAAAACTATGACGAGGTGCAGTAACCACCGTGAAAACACAATTGGGGGATTTCAGCATAAAAGCTCTCTCCCTCCCTCTTTCTCTCCCTCTCTCGCTCTCTCCCGCCATCCCTCCCCCTCTCTCTCTCGCCATCCCTCCCCCTCTCTCTCTCGCCATCCCTCCCCCTCTCTCTCTCGCCATCCCTCCCTCTCTCTCTCTCTCTCTCCCTAAAAAGGTCCCTATAGAGGATTATATCTGCAGGTTCCTTTAGAAGCGGTGGCCTCTCTCTGCCTCCATTATCTTGTCATTTGAGGAGGATTATGTTCCGGAGCACACGCAGTCCAGACTGGGGCTAAAGAACTGTGACAGCTTACAATAATTGCTGAGCTAATTAGTGGGAACGAGCTCAGCATCACCCTTCTCCCTGTTCTCCCTGATTAGTCCTGAACTGATGAATACAGTGCCTTGCAAAAGTATTCATCCCCCTTGGCGTTTTTCCCATTTTGTTGCATTACAACCTGTAATTTAAATGGATTTTTATTTTGATTTCATGTAATGGACATACACAAAATAGTGCAAATTGGTGAAGTGAAATGAAAAAAATAACTTGTTTCAACAAATTCAAAAACATAAATAACGGAAAAGTGGTGCGTGCATATGTATTCACCCCCTTTGATATGAAGCCCCTAAATAAGATCTGGTGCAACCAATTACCTTCAGAAGTCAAATAATTAGTTAAATAAACTCCAACTGTGTGCAATCTAAGTGTCACATGATCTGTCACATGATCTCAGTATATATACACCTTTCTGAAAGGCCCAGAGTCTGCAACACCACTAAGCAAGGGGCACCACCAAGCAAGCAGCACCATGAAGACCAAGGAGCTCTCCAAACAGGTCAGGGACAAAGTTGTGGAGAAGTACAGATCAGGGTTGGGTTATAAAAAAATATCTGAAACTTTGAACATCCCACGGAGCACCATTAAATCCATTATTAAAAATGGAAAGAATATGGCACCACAACAAACCTGCCAAGAGAGGGCCGCCCACCAAAACTCACGGACCAGGCAAGGAGGGCATTAATCAGAGAGGCAACAAAGAGACCAAAGATAACCCGGAGATTGGAGTATCTTTCCATAGGACCACTTTAAGCCGTACACTCCACAGAGCTGGGCTTTACGGAAGAGTGCCCAGTAAAAAGCCATTGCTTAAAGAAAAAAATAAGCAAACACGTTTGGTGTTCGCCAAAAGGCATGTGGGAGACCCACCAAACATATGGAAGAAGGTACTCTGGTCAGATGAGACTAAAATGTAGCTTTCTGGCCATCAAGGAAAATGTCTGGTGCAAACCCAACACCTCTCATCACCCCAAGAACACCATCCCCACAGTGAAGCATGGTGGTGGCGGCATCATGCTGTGGGGATGTTTTTCATCGGCAGGGACTGAGAAACTGGTCAGAATTGAAGGAATGATGGATGGCGCTAAATACAGGGAAATTCTTGAGGGAAACCTGTTTCAGTCTTCCAGAGATTTGAGACTGGGATGGAGGTTCACCTTCCAGCAGGACAATGACCCTAAGCATACTGCTAAAGCAACACTCGAGTGGTTTAAGGGGAAACATTCAAATGTCTTGGAATGGCCTAGTCAAAGCCCAGACCTGAATCCGATTGAGAATCTGTGGTATGACTTAAAGATTGCTGTACAACAGCGGAACCCATCCAACTTGAAGGACCTGAAGCAGTTTTGCTTTGACGAATGGGCTTGTGCATAATAGTTATGCACGCTCAAGTTTTCTGTTTTTTTGTCTTATTTCTTGTTTGTTTCACAATATAAAATATTTTGCATCTTAAAAGTGTTAGGCATGTTGTGTAAATCAAATGATACAAACCCCCAAAAAATCAAAACAGGGGGGTGAATACTTTCGCAAGCCACTGTACCTGCTTGGGCCAAGAAACACGAGCAAAGGACATTAGACCGGTGGAAATGTGTCCTTTGGTCTGGAGTCCAAATTGGAGATTTCTGGTTCCGGATGCTCTCCGCATGTGTAGTTTCCACCGTAATGCATGGAGGAGGAGGTGTTATGGTGTGGGGGTGCTGTGCTGGTGACACTGTGTGATTTATTTAGAATTTAAGGAACACTTAACCAGCATGGTTGAATAAGCAAGGTCCCAAAAAAATGGTTTGTCGAGATTGGTGTGGAAGAACTTGACTGGCCAGCACAGAGCCCTGACCTCAACCCCATCGAACACCTTTTGGATGAATTGGAATGCAGACTGCGAGCCAGGCCTAATCACTCAACATCAGTGTCCGACCTCACTAATGCAAGTCCCCGCAGAAATGTTCCAACATCTAGTGGAAAGCCTTCCCAGAAGAGTGGAGGCTGTTATAGCAGCAAAGGGGGGACCAACTCCATATTAATGCCCATGATTTTGGAATGAGATGTTCGACAAGCAGGTGTCACATACTTTAGCATACTGTACACTGAGTGTACAAAACATTAGGTACACCTTCCTAATTTTGAGTTGCACCCACTTTTGCCCTCAGAACAGCCTCAATTCATGGGGTACGGACTCTACAGGGTGTCGAATGCGTTCCACAGGGATGGTGGCCTATATTGTCACCAGTACAGGGTGACAGGTAGCTTATTGGTTAAGAGTGTTGGGCCAGTAACCAAAAGTTTGCTGGTTCGATTCCCTGAACTGACTAGGTGAAAAATCTGCAGATGTGCCCTTGAGCAAGTTACTTAACCCTAATTGCTCCTGTAAGTCATTCTGGATAAGAGCGTCTGCTAAAATGTAAATACTTCCCACAGTTTCGTCAAGTTGGCTGGATGTCCTTTGGGTGGTGGACCATTCTTGATACAAATGGGAAACTGTTGAGTGTGGAAAAACCCAGCAGCGTTGCAGTTCTTGACACACTCAAACCGGTGTGCCTGGCACCTACTACCATATCCTGTTCAAAGGCACTTAAATATTTTGCCTTGCCCATTCACCCTCTGAATGGCACACGTACACAATCCATGTCTCAATTGTCTCAAGGCTTAAAATTCCTCCTTTAACCTCTCCTCCTCTTCATCTACACTGATTGAAGTGGATTTAACAAGTGACATCAATAAGGGATCATAGCTTTCACCTGGATTCACCTGGTCAGTCTCTGTCATGGAAAGAACAGGTGTTCCTAATTAATTTGTACACTTAGTGTATATAAATATCTCTCTAAGTTTAGACTACACACATCTCTGCCTGCCACCTCACTTCCTGAGTGGTCTCTGCTTACCCCTTCAGTACGGGCCTTAATGGCCTGCAGTGTGCCTGGCTTTCAAAGCCCCAGGAGGAGAGTGTTTGGCCCCCTGCGCCAGACACAGTGATGACCCTCATTAGTCCCAGTGGCTACAGACGGGGGCTTCCGGAACTCACATCATCACTACTAATGAGACCAATCTCTGTCTGAGTGGCCTGCCTGGTCTCTATTGGCTCTAGCTTCCATTAGAGGAGGGTGACAGCCTGAAGTTCTGGTGATTAAGGTAGAATATGCAGGTCAATGTCCCTGTAGAGTTGGCATTTATTTACTATTTTTCCCCCAGGTAAGCTTGTGTTTGTGTTCTAGTATGGGGGTGAAAATGTATATGTCATTGCACAGCACAAAGGAATTATCTATTTTTTTCTAGTCTAATAGCCTAATTACTAAATAATTAATAGTACTACATAGCCTACAAATCTGGGGACATGGTTAATTGCAATACTTCCATCTTGTGTACAATATAAGAACTACACATGTTCAAATAAGCAACAGCCTGTTCCATTCAATTACTTTTCTTCATTCCCTGTGATTTTGAAATTTGATTTAAACATCTTTTAAAACATATATTGTTTCTTAGATTGATGTTAAATTTTGAGCCGTTTAAATTGGTCACGTGGGTCCACAGTTCACGTTCCAGTCCTTGTCAGCTGACATCCATATCCAAATTCACCATTATGCACTGTCAATGTCTGAATGTCAACACAACCTTTAATATAGTGGACGTTGTTTACTGCGGAACGTATGTGAGTTATAATATCTGGACTGCTAATTAATTTAATTACCAAGGTTTAGAAGCAATACCGTCTTGTGTAGCCTACCAGAAACTACACGAAAACTTGCCTAAACCTTTCTGTACTCTTGCAACCACCAAATCATGTGGCAAATGTTAATTTCAGGCGCGGGAACATAGGCAAATGTCCCGAATATCAATGCTGAATATGTTTTATTGCTCGAGGTTCACTTGAAGCGAATGTCGGTGCTTGTAAACATTTTCGCACATGTTACATGTTGTGAATCTAGCAATACCAGTTTGTCCAGGGTTGTATTCATTACGCCTTTTCTGTTGCAAAACGTTTTGCAACAGAAAATGTTTACTCCAAACGGAAAATGTTTAGCATCGAAAACGAGAGTTTCTATTGGACAGATTCAGGTAGGTTTCGTTCCGTTTGCTTCCGTTTGGTTCTTAAACAGTAAACGGTTTCAGTAATGAATACAGTCCTGGTGAGGCGAGCGGATCTGGCGCTACACAGACATGTGTTGATTTATATTCATGATTAAGGCTAATTTAAAGTTATAGCACAAATTCTAACATTGATGCAGATGTAGTAAGTGTCAATCTGTAATTATTGAGACATTTATTGTTGTTTAATTGTAGTTGTACATTTTTACATTTTAGTCAGTTAGCAGACGCTCCAGCGCGACTTACATTTTCTAAGTGCATTTATTACGATAGCTAGGTGAGACATCCACATAGTAAATATATTTTTTCTCAATAAAGAAGTTATGAGTTTCAGTGATGGACCTGTCAGACCCTGAGGAGCAGTTACTCCACTATGCCAAGACTGGAAGCCTGTCTCTCATCCAGTGTCTTCTGCAGCTACGGATTGAGCAAGATCTCAGACTCAACATCAATTGCAGAGGTACCCTTTAACTCAATGTAGTCTAATGTACCATCATTTTATGTTGAGAAGCCTGTTGCTGTTCTGGTAATCAGACTACAGTTAAGTGATTGCCTGGTGTGATGGCCCAGGTAAGACCAAGACCAGTGCAGGTTGGACACCTCTACATCTGGCCTGCTACTTTGGACACAAAGATGTTGCAGAGGAATTGCTCAAGGTGAGAATAATACAGACTATATTATGTATGTTTGACCTAGTTTATTCTCCTAAAATGTATGTGTGAGCATCAGTGTGTGTGTGTGTTAGGCTGGTGCTGATGTGAATTTACAGAATAACATGGGCGACACGCCTCTACACAAAGCTGCCTTAACGGGAAGAAAGGTAAACATTACATCTTTTCATGGGCTTTTTACAGAAATACATGTGTGTACAAGATCATGTATGTTCAGGTGTGCAGTGTGCACAGCTACTTAGTGGTGCATTTCTATGGAGAATGTAATCCTATTTTCTATTACAGGAGGTAGTTCTGTTGCTGCTGCGATACGATGCCAGTGCCACTATCATCAACGGGAAAGCACAGATCCCTAAAGCTGTCACAGAGGATGATGAAATTAACACCATGCTGGAGGGTAGGTTGTGATTATGGGTTACATTAGAGCAGGGGTGTCAAACTCATTTTAGCTCAGGGGCCACATGGAGGAAAATCTATTCCCAAGTGGGCCGGACCGGTAAAATCATGGTATATATATAACTTAAAAACAACAACTTCAGATTGTTTTCTTTGTTTTAATATGATCAACATAAAACATAAAGCTGGAGCCTGAGGACAGTGTGTCCAAAATAGTGTATAGTACAAGCACAACATCACTATTAATCATAAAACACCTCAAGTTTATTTGAAAATTCTAAAGAAAAAGAACACACAATGCCTCAGTGATTAACAGAACTGTTTCACAGATCACAGAACTATATCAGGGTGTCATTTCTCAGGCAGAAATGTAGATACAAATGATGAAATCCTGTTCCCCAAACAAGTGCAAGAACCACAGAGTCAAGAATAGGTTAAATATACAAATAAAATAAAATCAATTAAAAACAATAGCACATCAACATAAAAACATATAAACATAAAGCTGGAACCTGAGGACAGTGTGTCCAAAAGCACAACATTACTATTAATCATAAAACACCAAGTTATTTGAAAGTTCTGAGGACAAAGAACACACACACACACAATGCCTCAGTGATTCACAGAAGTATATCACAGATCACAGAACTATATCAGGGTGTCTCATGCAGCACTTTAAGTGGGGTTGCATAGTTTATTTGACTCCTGATACCTGGCATCTTTTAGCTTTCACCAGCACATCAATATCAGGCGTCACATCCTGAGTGGCAGCCAACTTCAGGATGTGATTCAAGTGCTTGTGCGTGAGCCTTGAGCGCAGCTTTGTTTTATTTATGCTCATTACCGAGAACTTGCTCACAAAGATATGTGGTTCCAAACATGCACAACAGTTTTGCAGTGAGGGCTGTCAAGTTGGGGTAACCTGGCAAGAGATTCTGATAAAATGTGTCCAAGCCAGCTGCGGCAAATTTGCCCTTCAAATCCGAGTCACACTGCAAGTCTATTATTTCAAGTTGGATGCTGACGGGCAGATCAGAGGGATTCACGGTGAATGGCGAGCAAAAAAAAAATTGAAGTCTTTCTCCAATTCACCAAAAATCTGAAAGCGTTGCTCAAACTCCCGTAACAGTCCCGTTATTTTATCTTTGAACCGCTTCATGTCTGCCACATGTTGGGTCGTGCACACATTTTTCATACAGGGGAAGTGAGCTGCATCACCACCGGCGAGTTGCGTCTCCCACAATGACAGCTTCAACTTGAAAGAACGTATGCTGTCATAATACTGCGTGACAACTTTGTTGCGCCCTTGCAGCTGTTTGTTCAAGTTATTCAGGTGCTCTGTAACATCCACCATAAATGCAAGGTCCTGCATCCATTCTGCGGAATGAAATTCTAACACTCCTTTTCTTCCATGAACTGTTCAATTTCTTCTCGTAAATCAAAGAAACGCCTCAGCACAGCACCTCGGCTTAACCATCTTACCTCAGTGTGGTATGGCAGGCCATAGATGTGGTCTTTCTCTCTGAGAAGGCTGTCAAACTGACGGTGATTCAGGCTTCTGGATCGGATGAAATTAACAGTTTGGATGACCACCTTCATGACGTTATCCATCTTTAATGACTTGCAACACAAAGCCTCCTGGTGCAAAATAGTGAAAAGTCAAAAAATCACGTCCTCCATTTGCAGATTGCACTTTCTCTCTGAACTTTGTCACAACGCCTGCTTTTTTTCCCGATCATTGAGGGCGCACCATCTGTAGCCAGGCTGACAGCGCGGGACCAGTCCACTCCGACCCTGTCCAGCGCGTCGACGAGTGCGGTGAAAATATCAGCTGCTGTCGTTGTATCTGTCATCGGCACCAACTCCACGAACTCCTCGGTGACGGTCAATGTGTCATCAACTCCGTGGATGAAAATGGCCAGTTGTGCAACATCTGTAATGTCCGTGCTTTCATCAATTGCAACCGAAAACGCAATAAATTACTTTACTTTTTGCTTCAACTGGCTGTCCAAATCCACTGAAAGATCGGAAATCCTGTCTGCAACTATGTTTCTTGTCAGGCTAATATTTACAAAAGCCTGACGCTTTTCAGGGCACACAAACTCCGCTGCCTTCATCATGCATGTTTTTACAAATTCACCCTCACTAAATGGTTTTGAAGCCACTGCGATTTCATTAGCAATGAGTTAGCTAGCTTTCACTGCAGCGTCACTGATGTCTCGGCTGTGAGTAAACACAGACTGCTGTTTCTTCAGACCCGCCAACAGTTCATTCACCTTCTCTCTTCTCCGCTGTCCTTGAAAGTTGTCATATTTGTCGGCATGAAGACTCACATAGTGGCGACGAAGGTTATATTCTTTCAGCACTGCAACATGCTGTGAACACACCAAACATACAGCTTTCCCATTGAATTCCGTGAATAAATAGGAGGATGACCATTTTTCTTGGAACACTCTGCACTCTGCGTCCACTTTTCTATTTTTTGACAGAGACATATTGGGGCAATGAGGGTGCCAAAGCACATAATGTTAAAAGTAGAAGCCGTAATAAATATCGCGGGCAAAACAAAGTAGCTCATCCGGACTGGCTGCACGTGCTTGACGTACTTGCTCTGCCCCGGTATAAACAGTTTGCTTGCTTAACACAATTGCTATTGCGCCATCCAGTGGACGCAATTGGAACAGCAGTTTATTGAAAAATTGCAGCGCATTTTTATACTTTACAAAATCATCTCGCGGGCCGGATTAAACCCGTTTGCGGGCCTGATCCGGCCCGTGGGCCGGATGTTTGACACCCCTGCATTAGAGGAATGATTGATGGACTCTTTATCGCTGCACTAGATTGTGTTCAGTAGGTCAAACATTTAGAATTTTCCTTTGCATAACGTTTTGCTACAGTATGCCCTACTGAACACTACCCTGGTTCACAAGCCCTGTTTAATGTTGTGCAGCTGCAGAGAGAAGAGCTGAGAGGAGACAAGAGGAGAAACTTCTGGAGGCGGCCAGAGAGGGAGACATCTTCAGCCTGTCTGAGCTGGTCAGCATCTGATCATCTCTGACCCTCCACTGAACCTCTGGTTACCTTCCAAATGGCACCCAATTCCCTAAATGGTGTACTACTTTTGTCCAGAGCTCTATCTGGCCCATAGGACTCGGGTCAAAAGTAATGCACTATATAGGAATAGGGTGCCATTTGGGGCAAAGCCTCTGAACCTCAGAATGGGGTAGAGCAGAGGCCTGGCTTTGGGCTGACTGCCCAAATGGTCTTCTTGATGATTAAGCGCCATATACATGACTTGAGCTTTCATGTTATTGTCATCAGCTTGGTTACTGACCTCGTAATTGAAGAGGTCAACCTAGTCCTTCCATTGAGGATCCAAGACCACAAAAACTTGTTTGGTTTTATACAAATTTAGTTTGCACATAGCTATATTGATTGCTTACATGCATATTTGACTTACAGTTGTTGTGCATGCATGTTATGTGAATGTTAAGACACCATGTGCTTAATTAATTCACTTTAGACGTGACCTTTTTCAGCTCAGCAGGAAGCGGCCTCCTGACATCGACTGTAGAGACCTGCAGGGGAACACGCCTTTACACTGTGCTGCCTACAGGGGGCAGAAGCAGTGTGTTGGAAAGCTGCTCAAGTGTGGAGCTAGCTCCAGCATGAAGAACAAGAGTGGTATGTTTCCCTGCTGATATGTCCACTGAGGAAATAAAAACACACAGGATTTTGGGTCAACCATAATTCACCTATCCTCACCATGCACATACTTTGTATAGCATATATATATTTTTGGTAAGTGGGATTGTGACTTTGTTTTAGCATGGATATTACATTTGATAGAGCCTGGATGTAGTTGAAAATCATCATCACTTAAGTTTCATAATGTGTAAAACAGAGGTGTATAGATTTAGATTACCACATTTGCAAACAAACTATAAGCCTATTTAGCTGGTGTCTATATCTGCGTCCCTAATGGCACCCTATTCCCTAACTCTATGGGCCCTGATCCAAAGTAGTTCACTATATAGGGTATAGGTTGCCATTTGGGAACATCCTATGTGGTGTATTCACTGCCTCCCTCCCTGTCAGCTGGCAGGAGGTTTAGTTTAGTTTATTAGGATCCTCATTAGCTACTTCACATGCAGTATCTACTCTTCCTGGTGTCCACATAAAACATACAAAGTACAGAACAGTTATAGACATGAACAACAAAAGAAATTACATTAAATTCAAAAAAAATAAAGTAAGAGTTTTATAGATTGTAAAGACACCAAGAGACAACAAAAATACTATTTACACACATATATCATATTCTTATATACAGTACAGTTAAATTAGATCTTTAGAAATAGGTTATTGATAATGGTCTGATAAATGGCTTGGTTCTGTTGCAGACCAAACGGTGTTTGACCTGGCCTGCAGTGAGGAGATTAAGCAAATTCTGGAGGGCAGTCATGACAAGGTGAGGTGCGAGAGGAACGCTCGCTGATACTGTTAAAAGCATTGGTCCAGTGCTCTAGTTTTCAATGAAATCATGACTCACGAAACATCAATGTTTTTTCTTCCCTTAAGGATACAATTAGTGGTGTGCAGAAATTTGAAGGCCTCCTATGGAAGGTATTCTTATGATTTATTCACAACAAATATTTATATATTCTGAAATATACTGTACACTCTTGAATGTAATTGAATGGTTTCATACAGTACCTACTGTAAAATTAGTACAGTATAGACCAGCGGTGTTTAGTGTCACTCTGAAACCTCTGAACTGACATCCTTTAGTAAAATATAGTGATGCTGTCTTTGGCCCTGTCCTATACAGAGTTCCAGGTTCCTGGGATGGCGTTCCCATTGGGTGGTCATTCAAGATGGGGTCCTGTCCTGGTACCCTAGACAGTGAGTCCTCCAACCTTCTTCCCCCTCCTCCTCCTCTCTCTCTCCCTCTCTACCTCCCTCTCTCGCTCCCCCCTCCCTATTGCATACACAACACAGCACCTTGCTCCTCCTCTTATCCCCTGAAGAGCTTGAGGTAGTACAGTGAAAAGCTCTTGATATCTTCATCTCTCTGTCTGTGTTTGTTTCTAGAGCTGATGCCGTGGCGAATGTCCGGAAGCAAGGCGCTAAGGCTCTGATGAAAGCTCACTGCAGGGTAGGTAGGCACCAGGCCAGGGTGCTGTGTTCTCAATGCTTTACCCCACATTGAGATGTGGACAGCACAAAAGACAGTTAACCCTTTACTGTCACTTACAGGCCTACCCTCCAAAACCCAACACCTCCATTCCTGCAATGCATATTTATCACATTATGTTGATATTAGAAATACCTATTGTCATCATATCTGTACTGACTATTTTTTTATGTTTCACGGAATTTGATTCATGTTCCTCCAGGTAAAAGCATGGGACAAGTGCTTCTTCAGCCTCCGGTGCTTTGATCACAGTCTCCATCACTTTAAGGTGTCATCTAAGACTGATCCAGAGGCTATAAGAAAAGTGAAGTTCTGCTAGTATAGATAATATGTGGTTTGGGACACTGCACTTCATAGTTTACAACACATAGACCTAGTTTTTGGTGTGATTATTTGTGTGTGTGCTTGCAGAGATGGCTGGATGCCCTGGAGGAGCATACGTCCTACAGCAGCTGTTACTCTACCCAGGAGCAGACCACTGAGGATGAGGAGGGGGATGAAGATACACTGGGGGACCTAACAGACTCCCTCCAGGTCAGCTAAATTATTTTCCACCAGCAGCATATTTTCCACCCAATGCCACACACACACATAATCAGACCGGGATTCAAACCAACACAGATTAACAACCGCACTACAATAGACTTTTAAAGGTAATTTCCCTGATGTTTATGGAGATCGCGTTGGCTGTAAATGCCACGGATGACGGCTCAAGCATCAGTCATCTGTAAAAGTAAATCACAGTGCCCAGGTCCTACATTTTCATTGTTGAATTCCGGCCACTGTCAAGTATAGTGTTGAATACAAGGTTCAGTGTGCCAAGAAAAGTGAATAGCATCCTATCAAAGCTGTGTGCGGCTAGTGTGTACTTACACAAGGTGAAGTGTCTCTCTTGCTCTATGCAGGCTGCTGAAGCCTGTCAGCAGAAATTGGAGACTCAAGTGTCTATTTTTCTGTCCATGGTGAAGAATGAGGAGAACAACAGTAAGAGATCTCCCATTCATGTTCTAACTGCTCCTTCACAGCTTCTGCCAGTCTCTCTCATTTACTGTCTGTCTGTCTATGGCTGTGTTTAGACTTGGACAGTTTTTATGCAGCTTTAGTATTCTGATCATGGAATTCCGAATGCTCCATGCATCTACACCTACATTTAAATGTGTCTACCGTGTCCACCAGGGGTGCAACTTTGGTTTTAGAAGTGGGGGGGGGCATACATTTATTTTTTATCCAGTCGGATAAACACTCCAAACAGCCTACCCTACCGCTCGGAGGCGTCCACATGGTCCTAAAGCACACCGTTGCGTCGTTTTGTATCACATTCCAATGATAAAACTGGGGGGGGACAAAAATGCAATTTCAGATTGTGGGGGGGACATGTCCCAAGTGAGAATTGCGCCCCTGGTGTCCACAGTGTGTCCGTATTCCCTTTTCCCCAGCTATATTCAAATGCCAGGATGCATTCTACAAATGGTGGAATAGGCAAAATATGATAATAACAACAACAACAACAACTGATGGCAGTAGCTAACTAGTCAGTTAACCTCTGTATTTAGCTAGCAAGCAATGCTAAAGGGATTGCAAATGGGTTAACATAACTCTAGCCAAACTATTTTTATTTTCTTCTAAATATTATGATGGCAGCAAACACGTTCCTCACACTCTAGGAACTTATTTCCTCCAACGTTATAATGAAATGATGCCTCTTGGTCCCAAAACACAAGTTTTCTGGACACTTGTGGGAGGAGTGCTGATGACGTCGCCCACTGTATGTGCTTTCGGTAGCCTGATTGCGTCCAGACTGAGGAGAAATCCGCACAGAATGCATCACTGACAACCTCCTGAAGTGGTCAGCCAGATCTGAACACAATCAGACCACATGTTAAAGTCAATGTAATTATCCTGTCATTCAATCACATTGTCCCTTTTACTGATATTGGCATGAATTAACCCTGTAAATACTATAGAACATGCCTCAGGAAGGATCACTATTCAATTAAGAGTTTGGGATATGATTAACCTTTGGTTAAAATGACCGTTTCTGTAATGTGTGTAACTATCAGGTGGTGTGACATGTATAACCACAGAATTAGATAGAACAGTATAGTGTTGACTGTATATCTCTATGGTCCTAACTCTTTCCTCTCCCTCTGTGTTCCAGCGTTGGCTGCTCCTCTTCTGCTGAAGGCCAGGGAGACCAGTGACCTCTCCAGGGAGACCAGCTCTGCCCTGCACAGCTGTCTGGGTCTGTTTTCCAAACAACAGAAGGTACAGTAACTACTATATCTCCATCACCTCTACCTCACCCCTCCAACCTCACCTCTACCTCACCCCTCCAACCTCACCTCTACCTAACCCCTACACCTCTATCTCACCTCATTCATAAAGCATCTGAGTGCTGATCTAGAATCAGGTCCCCCCTGTACATATAATCGTATTCATTATAATCTAAAAGGATCCTAGATCAGCAACACTCCCCCCTAAGACGTGGTTTGAATTGTATGCGACCCAGGCTATTTTTAAACCGTTTGATGGTCACATTGCTTTTTTTACTCCGAGGACATGCTATGCCTCTGTTAAAAAGGGGGGCATTGGTCCTAAAAAGACTAAACGGGCTGTGATACTATGTGATTCAAAATTTATTTGAAGAGCATCTATCCCATTCACTCGTATTGATGCTTACACAATTGTTTACGTGCTGTGTTCTTACTGGCTGGTTCATTAATGGTGAATGGGTTATAGAAGCCTCCAGCCTCTCCCCCTGTTGTGACTGGCCAGTAGCTGAGTGTGACTGGGGGAGGTAGTGGATTGGGAAGGGCTGATGGCAGTGTGTGTGTGTAGTATGGAGGGGTGTGTGTGTGTTTACACCTGTCATAGTGGCCGGGCCATGCCCTTGGGACATAAGTACAACAGTTTAGTAATCACTGGTGCGAGCCTGCAGTAAGCACAGGGCCGAGCAAGATCCGCTTTTATGCTGAGCTCCGCACTCGGCCCGCAGATCAGCACAGGCACGTGCACACACACACGCTCCTCCAGGCACACACACACTCCGTCACGGTTTTGCTCAAGGGAAACGCTGCACGTTTAGAGAACTGAAGCGCGTGCATATTAACGCTCAGGCAGAGACACACACACACACACACAGGCAGTCAGGCAGGCACACTTCCACCACCCAGCAGAGCATCCCGGACAGGAGAAAGGTGAATCGGTGACAGCAGTACCCTCCATCCACACAGGTACAGACAAACATCCTCTCTTTGTTTTTCATTTTCTACTGGGTCTATTTGCATTAGACTGTTCTCTGTAGACCCTGCTTTTTCCATGGTGGGGCTTGTTCAGGTGAGTGGTTTTTCAATGTTGTAGGTAGGAGTTTATTCAAAACAGGCATTTTACATTCAGAACAAGTTGTCTTGACTGCTCTCATGGTGAAGTGGGGCATTGAGTACGCATGAAGAGGGGTTCGCATAGTGTTCTGTGCATTTATGACTTTTATCTGGAGTTATGTTATTACATTGGGGTTTATTGTAGTGTACTCTCATGTTAGATAATTTAGCAATACAGTAAGGACAAACAATGCTTACAGTAATACTGTGTTCAGTGAACTTGGACTTCAACATCTGGTGCTATATGGCATACCCAGATGGAAGGTTGTATGACAATAGAGTCCCTCTGCAATACAGTTTGAATGCAGAAAGTCATTGACGGTATGACTGTATTCATCAACCAGTATCTTTCATCAGCATCTTTGTAAGAAAAAAAAAATGTCTGGAAAAAGTTTATATTTCCTTCCCATCTTTTTCTGATAGATCACTGTTTAAAATGACAGTTTGAGGTGTTATTCAAACGACCCCACAGTGGTTGGATACATTGCGTGCTGGTCCTGGGCTAGTTCTGTCTGATAGATCTTAGAATATCTAGGTTAAGACTTTAGCGTTCTGGAAGATTCTGTCCACAGTGAGAGATGCAAAGTGAGTGTCAAACGGGCTCACTGGCCCGACAGCCGACACAGGGGATTAGAATCTTTGACAACAAATCACATGATAAGTCTGAACAAGTACTACGATGTGTCGGCTCCCTCTCTGAGTTGGATGTGTTAGATCAGACCAATGGGATTAAGACACCTAGCAGTGTCAAGGAGGGAGAGATGGACAGTATTAACCCTAATCCTTCCATCCATTCCTCTGTTCCTGCCACAGACACAGCTGTCACTACTGCTGCTGGCTAACTAGCCTTTCTTCACATGTCATGATTAATAGGGCCCTGAGTTTTTCTTGACTAGGGATAGCATGTCCTGACCATGGAAAACTCAGGGTTACAGTCATGTAAGACTGGTAGAGCCAGGAGTTTTTCCAGACTGTGTGACTCAGATCAGGAGAAACTCCTGGCCCCAGTCATTGTTTACCGGTAGGGCCTGGACACTAGCTGCCCCACTACAAGGGAAAACTCTGGACCTTGGCTTGGGTGGCTGAAGTCTTTTAAAATGTTGTGGGCCTTCGTCTGCACCGCCTAGAATGGAGGTTCTGGATGGCAGGGAGCTCGGCCGTATTCACCAACCTCTGTAGCGCCTTGCGGTGGCATGCCTTGCTGTTTTTATTTTTATTTTACCCCCTTTTTCTCCCCAATTTGGTTCTCGTCTCATCGCTGCAACTCCCCAACTGGCTCAGGAGGTGAAGGTCGAGTCATGCGTCCTCCAAAACTTGACCCGCTAAACCGCGCTTCTTAACACCCGCCCGCTTAACCCGGAAGCCAGCCGCACCAATGTGTCGGAGGAAACACCATTCACCTGGCTTGATTGCTTTCATTTTACTCCTGCGACTCTTTCATACTCTTGCTTGTGCCTGTCTTTTTTTCCCCCGTTAACGTTACGACCACGGAAATGTTTGTAATGACCTGTTAAAACACACCCCGGTAATGGCTGAAATGGGCTCAATGGAGAATACATTGTCTTTCCTTTGCATGTATAAGAATGCTAAAGCTTGGTCTGGGATTTAACGCATCGTCTCGACACTTATATCACAAGAAAGAGAAGAAGGATAACAACATTTGTTATTGAAAAAAGTAATCATTTAATACATTTGAAACGTTTACAAATTAGATGCACTGAAATGAAACAACTTCCGAAAATGTTACACTCAGATTATAGTGATATTATGTCTGATCTCCCAAACAATGTAAAGTATGTATAGATAGTTGTAATCTAGAGCCAAGCTTGTTGATTTTTAATTAGTGGGTATCCTGCTATTGACATGTTGAATTATGCAACACAACGTGACAACAACAGTAATTAATGAGGCAGTCTAGACAGGGCAGGTGAGGGCAGGTAGGCCTAGACAAAGCAAGTTGTTGGTGGTTGCAGCCCTGTTCCACCCCTTAGTTAATTTATTAATGTATCATGTGCAAATGAGGTATGTATTATTTTCTTTATTTTAACACAAAATATCTAAAAAATACCTGATACCATTAGAAAACGAATGTCTGAAAATATTCAGACCCCTTGACTTTTTCCACATTTTGTTACGTTAGTCTTATTCTAAAATGGTTTAAATCACTTTTTTTCCTCAACAATCTGCACACAATACCCCATTATGACGAAGCAAAAACAGGTTTTTATAAATTTTTGTAAATGTATTTTAAAATACGATTACATTTACATGAGTATTCAGACCCTTTACGCACTACTTTGTTGACACACTTTTGGCAGCGATTACAGCCTCGAGTCCTCTTGGGTATGATGCTACAACCTTGGCACACCTGTATTTGGGGAGTTTCTCCCATTCTACTCTGCAGATCCTCTCAATCTATGTCAGGTTGGATGGGGAGCATCGCTGCACAGCGATTTTCAGGTCTCTCCAGAGATGTTCTGGCTGGGCCACTCAAGGACATTTAGAGACTTCTCCCCAAGCCACTCCTGCGTTGTCTTGGCTGTGTGCTTAGGGTCGTTGTCCTTTTGGAAGGTGAACCTTCGTCCCAGTCTGAGGTCCTGAGCGCTCTGGAGCAGGTTTTCATCAAGGATCTCTCTGTACTTTGCTCCGTTCATCTTTCCCTCGATCCTGACTAGTCTCCCAGTCCCTGCCGCTGAAAAACATCCCCACAGCATGATGCTGCCACCACCATGCTTCACCGTAGGGATGGTGCCAGGTTACCTCCAGATGTGACGCTTGGCATTCAGGCCAAAGAGTTCAATCTCGGTTTCATCAGACCAGAGAGTCTTGTTTCTCATGGTCTGAGAGTCTTTAGGTGCCTTTTGGCAAACTCCAAGTGGGCTGTCGTGTTTCTTTTACTGAGGAGTGGCTTCCGTCTGGCCACTCTACCATAAAGGCCTGATTGGTGGAGTGCTGCAGAGATGGGTGTCCTTCTGGAAGGTTCTCCCATCTCCACAGAGGAACTCTGGAGCTCTATTAGAGTGACCATTGGGTTCTTGGTCACCTCCCTGACCAAGGCCTTTCTCCCCCGATTGCTCAGTTTGGCCGGGCGGCCAGCTCTAGGAAGAGTCTTGGTGGTTCCAAACTTCTTCCATTTTCAATGCTGAAGACATTTTTTTGGTACCCTTCCCAGGTCTGTGCCTCGATACAATCCTGTCTCGGAGCTCTACAGACAATTCCTTCGACCTCATGGCTTGGTTTTTGCTCTAACATGCACTGTCAACTGTGGGACCTTATATAGACAGGTGTGTGTGCCTTTCCAAATCATGTCCAATCAATTGAATTTACCACAGGTGGACTCTAATCAAGTTGTAGAAACATCTCAAGGATGATCAATGGAAACCGAATGCACCTGAGCTCAATTTCAAGTCTCATAGCAAAGGGTCTGAATACTTAGGTAAATAAGGTATTTCTGTTTTTTATCGCTTTGCCATTATGGGGTATTGTGTGTAGATTGATGAGGATTGTTTTTTTGTTTAAATCCATTTTAGAATAAGGCTGTAACACAACAAAGTGGAAAAAGTCAAGGGGTCTGAATACTTTCCGAATGCACTGTATGTTATGCTCATAAAATGGAAGGTTCTCATAATTATGTCCTAGATTAGAATGTTCTACGGGCCAGTAGATATTCCTTGCATATTGTGATCTAAGTGGGAAATGGAGAGGGGTAGATGTGAACAAAGCATATTTCAGTATCAGACAACACTTAGTCATTAGATAGGTTGGTTCCTAAATTTGAATGTCTTTATTTCTGATCTATTAATTTATTTATGATATTATACTGAACCAAAATATAAACGCAACAATTTCAACTATTTTACTGAGTTACAGTTCATAAAGGAAATCAGTCATTTG